GCATCTGCCCTGGACAAAGCTGCTTCCATTTGTGAAGAGTTCAAGCTCTGGCTCCAAGAGGGGGCATTTGTTAGGTCTGGCCTGCTGGAGTACACTTTGTCCGTTACCTCTTTGCAATCATGGTCTGGGGGCCCTTCCTCTGTTGGCAGGAAGGTGGCAGGATTTAAAGTTCGTACAGTTTCAAGTCTGACTCAAGGATTCTTACATAGTAGTCCTTGGTAATGGGCCATTCTGGAACTGGTGAGCCATTTCTGACCCTGCCCATTCATTAGGGCCATGATTGCATGAGGGACCTTAACATTAATGTCCTGTCCCAGGGTGAGCTTGTCGGTCACCCTGATTAGGGTTACCGTGGCAGCCAAGGCTCAAAGACATGGAGGCCACTCTGAGGCCACTGGGTCCAAGTGCTTCAACAGGTAAGCCACTGGCTGCTGCCATGGACCTACTGTTTGGGTGAGGACCCCCAAGAGCTGTGTGATTTTTCTCACAGACAAAGAGATTGAAATCCAGCAGTCCTAGCATAGGGGCACTGATTAACAGTCTCTTTATCTCCTGGAAGGCCTTTTCTTGGTCTGCTCCCCAGTTTAGTGGGTCCTTTTTGGAGCCTGCTGTGGCCTTGTAAAGTGGTTTGGCCAGACTTGAATATCCGGGTATCCAGATGCAACAGAATCCTGCCACTCCCAAGAATTCTCAGACATCCCTTTAGTCTTTGGCTGTGGGACAAAGCAGATGGCCTGTTTCCTCTCAGACCTAGGGCACATCATCCTTCTGAAATGATGAACCTGAGGTATCAGACCTCTTGCTGGCAAACTTGGGCCTTTTTCCAAGAGACTTTGTAGCCTGCCTTGGAGAGTCGGGCTAGCAATGCCTTCGTCTCCTCCAAGCATTTCTCCTGGTTGTGGCTTGCCAGGAGCAGGTCATCCACGTATTGGAGCAAAGTACAGCTTGGATTTTCTTCTGGCAAAGTCAACAAATCTGCTGCTAGGGCTTCCCTGAACAAGGTGAGGGAGTTTTTGAATCCCTGAGGCAGTCTGGTCCAGGCCATTTGTGTTTTTCTTTCAGTATGGGGGTCTTCCCATTCAAAGGCAAACAGAGGCTGGCTAACTGGGGCCCAGCAGAAGCAGAAGAAAGCACCCTTTGGGTCTAGGCAGGTGAACCAGCTTGCTTGCAGTGATAGAAGGCTTAGGAGAGTGTAGTGGTTAGGAACTACTGGGTGCAACAGGATAACAGTGTTGTTGACTGCCCATAGGTCCTGGACAGGTTGGTAGTCATTTCCTCCTGCCTTCTTGACAGGTAACAGTGGGGTGTTCCATGGTGACTGGCATTCGATCAATATTCCTGTGTCCTTCAGCTGCTGTAGGTGGGCCTGAATTCCCAGGTGTGCTTTCCGTGGCACTGCATATTGGCTTTATCTAATAAGGAGAGCCCCAGGTTTGAGATCTACCATTATGGGTGCATGGTTGCGAGCCAGGCCAGGAGGCCCTTTTTCAGCCCAGACATCAGGAAACTCCTCCAGCAGGCAGATAGGCTTCGTCAGATCCCCTTTTTCCTGGTGGTAGAGCTACCATTTATCTTCTATAGGCATAGTCACTGCCATAATGAGGGCATTTGGTCCTCTCACTGTAAGGCTTATAGCTCTCCTCCGGTGAAGGTGATTTGGGCTCCAAGCTTTGTTAGTATGTTCCTTCCCAGCAGAGGAATTGGGTATTCTGGTAGGCACAGGAATTCGTGAGTCACCATGTGCCCTCCTAGTTGGCATGTCTGGGGTCGGCAGAACTACTGGGCAGTTTGGGTGCCAGTGATTCTGACTATTGTGGCCCTGCGCTCGGTGAGTGGGGCCACAGATTTAGTGACCACAGAATGCTCAGTGCCTGAGTCCACCATGAAAATCATTGGTTAGCCCCCCACTTTCATTTTGACTGGGCTCTTGGGAGCCTAGTAGTAAGGAGCCTGATCTTCCCTATCTCAGTTCCTTCCTCAGTTCCTGCTAAGTCAATGAGGTCCTGGGCCTGTGGTTCAGGTTGCCATCCTGTCCTCTTTCCTGGAGTAATCTTGTTAGGCTCCGATGCTGGTCCCTTGTGGCGGGGGCATTCTTTCTTCCTGTGGCCAATCTCCTTGCAATAGGCACATTGGTCTCATTGGAGTGGGGTTCTTCCATTGGGTCTCCCCTTCCACAGCAGAGCTGACTGCATGGTCAGGTCTGGCTTCCCCAGTGCTGCAGCCAACAAGAACACCTTGGCTTTCATTCTTTTATCAGCCTCTTGTTTTTTCTCATGGTCCCAGTTCACAAAGACTTTATTTGCTAGTTCTAATAGCTGGGTAACATTCATTCCACTGAAGCCTTCAAGTTTCTGAAGTTTCTGGCAAATGTCAGCGTATGACTGGGCCACAAATGCTGTATTGACCATCTGCTTGTTTTCTGGTGCTTCTAAATCGAAGGGAGTATACACCCAGAAGGCCTCACAGAGTCTCTTAAAAATCAGTTGGTGATTCCTCTGACTTCTGGATAACTGCCACAGTTTTGGACATGTTGGTAGGTCTCTTAGCTCCAGCCCTGAGCCTGTGTAGGAGGGCAGTGCGATATTGAGTGAGGACTCCTCGTCCTTCTGCTGTACTGAAGTCCCAGGTAGGCCTAGCATCAGGGGCTGCCTCTGTTGCCCAAGCTTCTGCATCTAGGGTTCCTGCTGGGGCCTGCGCTTGGAGCCAGTGACGAGCCTCATTCAGGATTTGCCATCTTTCTTCTGTGTTGAAAAATGTCGGAGGATCTGTGGGCAGTCATCCCAAGTAGGTTGATGGGTCTGAAATAGGATTCTAGGAGGTCGATCATGGCCTGGGGCTTTTCTGAGTAAGGTGGTGGGTGGTTCCTTCAATTTAAGAGGTCAGTTGTACTGGTAATAGAGGATAGAGTGTCTGGGCTGGGCTGTGCCATCAGCACCAATCAGCTGGGGCCCTTGCATCTCACAGAGCAGCATTTACAGGGCCCTGGCCTGAGGGAGCAGCACCTGGGATGAGTGAAGGCGGAGACTCAGGGGCTGTAGACTCAGACTCCAAGCCAGGAATGGGTGTGGGACATTGCTGGGGCTGGGAGGCTGCTGATGAGGCTGAAGGGGACTCACTGAAGATGGAAGACTGTCTGGGAGAGGTGGCTGGCTGCTCTGATGGTAGTGGCATGCTGGGAATGTATGGCGGGGGCACAGGTGGTTCATCGTCTGGGTCCCCTTGCAGAATAGGCTTGGTCAGCTTCTGGTCTTTAGGCTTCATTTCCTGGGCCATGAAAACTCTGTTCTGTCCCTTTTTGTTGGTGCAGAATTTGACCCAAGGGGCATGGTCTGAGGCACCTGAAGCCAGGCGTCAATATAGGGGAACTGTTCTGGGAGTCCAGGGGTTCCTATTACAACCTGAGAAAAGGCCCTGACAGTGGGCAAATCAGGGTACCTTCAGGGGGCCAGTTGACCCCAAAAGTGGGCCACTCCAACTCACACACAGTACGCAGCCTTCCAGGAGACATTTTGATCCCATAATCTACTGAGAATACCTTCTTAAAATGTTTGAGCATAGACTCTAGGACTGTGAGTACCCTATGTATTTCCCCTGTGTCGGTGGCGCAAAACCAAACAAGGGCAGGTGCCCCTTCAAGAGAAGAGACCAATCAGATGTCTGCCAGCCATGTCCCGAAGGAGCTTAGGGGCCTTTTAGTATCAATGGCAGGGACAGCCTCCTGACTCTAGATCGGATTGCCCTGATGCTGCACTAAGCCATATGAGGATTACCATGGAACCACAGGAACCGCAGGACAGACCCACTCAGACTCACACCAGAAGTCATTACAGTTTCCTTCCCCCCTTTTGGGGAAGTCCCTGAATTCCTCTCATAGATTCCCAGGAGTTGATCAGACTCCCCTTCTGCACGCAGTGGAATGGGACCTGACTGAGGGCTGACTTTCTCCAGGGGCTTACCGAGTTCGAACAAAATTGCCAGGCAAGTTGCTTCACTTCTCTTTGGAGTCCATTCAGGACAAGACTACTCAGAGGTCTGGAACTCCAGGGCGGAGGAGAACCTGTAATACCGTCAGGTGGCCCACCACCTCATTTGGTCCCAGGTTCCTCCCTACTCAAGGGACCAGAATGGTTGTTATCTCACTGGGGCCTCCAGAAATGTTGTGGATATATTGTCAGATAAGAAACCAAGTGACACTCAGAGAAGTAGGAGAACTCAGATTTTTATTTTTATTTTATTTTACACTGGCGGTCCCAGATGAACTCGTACTCTTTTTTGGGCCCCCAGTAGTGAAACCACAGGATTCTTAAAGGGCTGTGCAGGGGATCAGGTTCCAGGGAATGTGCTGGTTGCTAATAGGTGGGTTGCTAATTGGTTAGGGACCCAGGGTTGTTTAGGTAGAAGCAGCAGGGGGCCCTGTTTTGGAAAGTCTACTTACAGAGGAAGACAAAGAAAGGTGGGAATGGGCAGTAGGAGATCTATAGCAGGAAGTCTGTTTGCAGAAGAAGACAAAGAAAAGGCGGGAATGGGTGGTTATCTCCATATGGGGCCTTTTATCTTGGCCTTGGACTCATTTTATGGCTTAACTGGCAATTTCTCATGTCTCATAACCTGCTTTGAGGCAATTTCCTGTTCAAATATACTATACAGAAATATGGGGAAGGTGTTGGTTGGTTGGTTGATACTAGGGTTTGAACTCAGGGCCTTGTGTTTGATAGGCAAGTACTCTACCACTTGAGCCCTGCTTCCAGCCCTATATAGAAATATGTGCATGAACAATGACTGGAAAGAATGAAATTAAAATGGTTCTGGTAAAATAGGGGGATGTGGAATATTTTTTCTCTTGGAGTCTGCCTTCCAAACCTTAGAAATTGCATTGTGAGTAATTGCTCAAAAACAGCTTTAAGTTCTTAAGGAGCTGTTTTTATTTTAGCAGGCTATAAAAATACTGTCTGGCATTATCTGTTGACACAGTTCTGTTAACTTTTGACTTTGTGTTTCAGTCAACAAGCAGATAAATGATAAAGAGCGAGTGGCAGCTGCGATGGAGAACCCCAACTTACGGGAAATTGTGGAACAGTGTGTCCTTGAACCTGACTGAGAGTTGCTTTAAGAGCCACTGAACTGTAATTGTTTGATATTTTTGTTTAAACTCTTTGTAAAATGTAAAAACTCATGTTTAATATATAGGTGATTTGTACCTCAAAACATTTTTAAGGAATTATTTCTAAGCAAGTTTTCATTACAAGGTAGGACCTAATTTGTTCAGTACATAACATTCTCAGGATTTGTAACACTGAAATGATCAGACAGAAAAATATTTTCTATTTACTATAATGTGTTACTATTTTTCTGATGTCCATTCTGATATAGCTACTTTTCATGTCAAATATCTACCATGCCCAAATGTATTCAATTTAAATCATTAGTCTAAAATAAATAAAACAAGTGATTCTTATAATGACTCTCCTTAGAATGTTTGTTGTTGTTGTTGTTTTTGGCATCCCCGCTTTTGGGAAGGGTTTTTTCGATATAGGGTATCCTGAATTATTTGCCCAGACTGGCTTTGAACTGTGATCCTCATGAGTGGCTAGGATTACAGGGGTGAGCCCCTGATGCCTTGCTATAATGTTTTTATTGAATTGTAAATTCTAGTGTAAATTGAAGGTATTTCCAAACTAAAAGATAGTTCCAAACCTTTATTTTTACTGATTATTATATAAAATCAGATCTGAAAACCAAAAGAAGCCCTAAAGATCAGACCCTGGCTTCCTTCAAGGAGAATTCTGTACACATTTATAGATGATGAACAGTATGTGGAGAGCATCAAATGACTTACTAAATTTTGAAGAACAAAAAATCCCCCAAAGACGAGCTGGGGTATAGCACAGTAGTAAAATGTGAGGCCTTGGGTTTGATCCCTAACACCACTAAAAAAAATAAAATATAATAAAGAAGTCTCCCTAGCTGGGTGTGGTGACTCAAGCCTGTAATCCTAGCTACTTGTGTGGTAGAGATGGGGAGGATCACAGTTCTAGGCCAGCCCAGATGAAAAGTTCACAAGATCCTGTCTCAACCAATGGCTGGGCGTGGTGGTACACACCTGTCATCCCAGCTACACAGGGAAGCACAAATAGGAAGATTGTGGTCCATGCTGACCTGGCCATAAAGTGAGACCTTATCTCAAAAATAACCAATACAAGAAGGACTGGTAAAGTAGTTCAAGTGGCAGAGCACCTGCCTAGCAAATGCAGGACCCTGAGTTCAAACCTTAATATTATGAAAAAAAAAAAAAAAAAACCAAACAAGCCCAGAGAAATGCTCTCAGAAGGTGGGGGACTCAGAAAACTGATGCCAGGCCTGAGAAAGAAAATGGAAGAGGCTCGAAGGTTGGGGTCTGATTTCTGCCTTGTAAATTTAGAGGGCAAGAGAAGGCAAAACTAATTATTTTGAAGACAGAGCTATGCCTGAATGTATTTCATGGATCCTGCTGTGGACTCATATGTTTGACATTGTCCAACAGGTCTTCAGCAGGGCTAAGGAACCTCAGCAGAAAGAGTCTGGACATGTACTGTCTGGTACCCAGGGACTGAGGAAGGAGGACAGCAAGTAAGCAACCAGGATGGAGGGTCATCTGCCAGGTTCAAGGGGCTCAGCCAGCTCTAATCTCCAGGCAGGTCCAGGGAGCACAAAGCCAACCAGCAAGTAAGAATTGTCCTGTTTCTTCAGTGCTCCGCCCTCCCAACTCCCAAGGCAGAGGGAAAATAGCTAGCAAGTGGGGGAGTTAAGAGAAGGAAAGAGAACAAAGAGCCATCCATTCCTCACTCAGGTTTAAGCATGAAGCAAGCTCAAATTCACAAAAGATTTAATGCCAGGGGCCAGGCATTGTGATTCATGCCTGTAATTCAAAGATGGGGATGGAGTCCAGCTTGGGCAAAATTAGTGCAAGACTTTATCTGAAAAACAAACTAAGGCTGAGGCATAGCTCATGTGGTAGGGTGCTTGCCTAGCAAGCTCAAGTCCCTGAGTTCAAGCCCCTGTACTATCCCCCCGCCCCAAAGAACAAAGGAAGAAAGTTCTTAATTTTATTTTTTTGCAGTGGTGGGGCTTGAACTCAGGGCCTACATCTTGAATAACTCTGTCAGCCCTTTTTTGTGATAGGTTTCTTTAAGACAGGGTCTCACAAACTTTTGTCCAGGCTGGCTTTGAAAAGCAATCCTCCTGCCTCCTGCCTCCTGAGTAACTAGGATTATACCAGTGCCTGGTAAAAGTTTGTAATTTTGACTAATAGATATGACCAGATACTTTAATGAAATTAGATTGTATGATTAAAAAGTGACAGCAAGGGGTATGTAACTCAGTGGTACAGCATATGCTTATGATGTGCAAGGCCCTGGGTTTGATCCCTAGCACTACACACACACACACACACACACACACACACACACACACAAAGTGACAGGAAGATTATCTGATAGAAATCATGTCTTTTCAAATCTTCACCATGAGCAGAGGAAGAGCATGCCTTCTCAAAGTTTCAAAGGATAGTGGGAGCAAAAATACAACTAATGGTACAACATACTAGGTATAGAAGTTCTATTAAAAATCATCATGGCCAGGCCCAGTGTGGTGTTTCACACCTGTAATCCCAGTACTCAGGAGGCTGAGGCAGGAGGATCATGAGTTTGAGACCAACGTGGGCTACGTCCTGGCTTCCACTTTGGCTTAGTGATGGGAATGTCTCAGCACATTTTACCCTGAATTTTCCCTTTCTGTTGAGATCATTAAAACACTAGCTTTGGATTTTTTGTTTTTTAAAAAATATTCCTAATCTTTATTAATATATGGCTTTTATTTTTTTTGTCTTTGATATTTTTTCATACTGTTTTCACACGATATAATGTACTTTAATTGTATTCACCACTCCCACCCCTATCACTCTCTTCTTTTGCTCTCCCTCCACTTGCTGCCCACCCCCCTCCCCCCAAAATAAGTCCTGCTTCTATATTCAAGTCAGTTTTTTTAGGTTTAGGTTCTGCATATAAGAGAGAACATGTGATTTTTGTCTTTCTGAATCTGGCTTATTTCATTCAACATAATCTCCATTTCCATCCATTTTCCTGCAGATGACATAATTTCATTCTTCTTTATGGGCAAATAATACTCCATTATATATCCATACCACATTTTCTTTACCCATTCATTAACTTCTGGACACCTAGGCTCATTCTGTTGCTTGGCTATTATGAATAGAGCTGCAATAAACATAGGTGTTCAGGTATCTCTATTGTGTGCTGACTTGCATTCCTTCAGATATCTGCTCAGAAGTGGTATAGTAACCTCCGCTGGCCTCAGACTCTTAATTATCCCCCTGTATCAGCCCCCTGAGTAGCTGGGAGTGCAGGCACATGCCACCATGACCAGCTTGTATTCCTAATTTTTAATCATCACTATAAAAACTTTTTCCAATTTACAAATCCAGGAAGAGATTCTTAGGACCAACATTAAGTTCTTCAAGTCCAAGGCCAAGACAGGAGATAGTGTGCCTGCCACGTGTCCTGTTCCATATCCTCCTACCTAATGCACACATGTGGACATCCACATGCTATTTGCTCAGCTGTCTGCTTCTAGAAGACATGACAGCCATCATCTAGAGGGCTCTGAGGCTCACAGACCGGGATTATTCGACATTTTGGGGGCTCAGAAAACAATCCCAAAATGTAGCCTTTCCATTGAGTGTCTTAAAGTAAAGGAGACTGAAGGCTTTAAAAGCAAAGTCCTCCTGTATCTAGCCCCTCTTCCTTCCCTGAAGCAGTCATAGAAACCAGAATTCCTCTTCCCAAGGTAGGCCTTAGAAACTGGAACTCCTTTCCACCAAAGCAAGCCAGAAAACCTAAAATATGATTCTAATCTTCCATGTCTTTCTGTGTAGGAGCATAAGGAAATTCTCTGACCTACCTTGTCTGATAGCAAGTTATAAGGCCATTATTTCAGAGGGGTCTTGCTCCATGCCTTGGAGAAAGAAATGCTGCCCAGCCAGGCAGAGAAGAATGTGAACAGACAGGCCTTTTGTCCAATCCATTTTTTACATGGCTGTCCAGTCTTTGCCCAACCTAAACATAAAAATAGTTTTCCCTGAGCCGGGCACTGGTGGCTCATACCTGTAAGCCTATCTACTCAGGAGACAGTGATCAGGAAGATTGAGGTTCAAAGTCAGCCCCGGGCAAATAGTTCCCAAGACCCTATCTCAAAAAAACCCATCACAAAAAATAGGACTGGTGGAGTGGCTCAAGGTATAAGTCCCGAGTACCAAAAAAGAAATCATGGGTCTTCATTTCTGAAGGTTCTATGTTATGTAAAACTTTGATTAAATAAATTTGTTATACTTCTCTCTTGTTAATATAAATTTTGTTGTAGGAGTATAGCCATGACCCTTTTCTTCTCTAGAAGATTTGGGTGGAAATTCTCCTAATGCAGTAAGAGGATTTGGATAACTTAATGCCCCCTACATGAATAGTATATGAAAGTGAATTGGAACCTTTATCAATCATAACAGCATGTAAGTGAAAAATAGAAGTACATATATTCACAGATGTGTTATCTAGTGTCTCTGGCAGAGGTAGCAAAATTTTTTCAGAAGAGGACTAAATAGGAAATATTAGGGAATCTGTGAGCATAGCTTAGGGGTAGAGCACTTGCCTAGTATGTGCGAGGCCCTGAATTTGATCCCCAGCACTGAAGAAAGAAAAAGGAATTTTAGGTTTTTTGAACCATATGCTCTGTTGTAAGTGTTCAGCTCTGCCCTTGTAGTGCAGTAGCCAGGACTATGTGTAAATGAATGAAGGTGTCCTGTTCCAAAACTTTATGGACACAAATTTGATTTTCATGTTTCATGTTTATTTATTGACAAAACTGGGGTTTGAACTCAGGGCCTCACGCTTACTAGGCAGGCACTCTATCACTTGAGCCAATCCGCTAGCCCCATGCGTATGTTTTTTTTCAGTCATTTAAAAATATAAAAACTGGTTGTCCATAGCATTCCTGAGGAACTGGTTCCAATTCCCAGCACCACAGTTATAAAATAAAATAAAAACCAATATTAGCTTGTGGGTTGTACAAAAATAAGAATTAGATGTGATTTGGCCTGTGAACCATTTGTGAACTCTTGATCTACGAGAATGTTAACTTTTTTGGGAGGTCTTAGGCCAATTCTTTTTTTCCTTTGGTGGGACTGGAGTTTCAACTCAAGACTTCATGTTTGCTTACAAAGCAAGGTTTCTATCACTTAATCCACATCTCCAGTCTATTTTGCTCTGGTTATTTTGGAGATGGAGTCTTGCAAACTGTTTGCCCTGGCTGGCCTCAAACTGTGATCCTACCAATCTTAGCCTCCCAAGTAGCTTGGAGTACAGGCTCCCAAATTACTAGGATTGTAGCAAGAGCCACCAGTGCCCAGCCTCA